CGCATGACACAGCATGGTAAGGGACCCAGTGTCAAGGCAGGGGTACAGCTGGTGACCCACTTTAGGTGGAAATAAGTGGAATGGACCACACATCCTACCTGTGATGCCCATTGATAGCGCTGGGTACAGAAGTACACCGAAGCTACGCACCTACCTGTGATGCCATTGATAGCACTGGGTGCAGAAGTACACCGAAGCTACGCAACTCATCCTTCATGGAGGCACCCAGACTACAGAGATTAGCGGCTCCCACCTGTAGGATTTCCTTCTTGTCTGGGTTCAGCCTCAATCTGTTTTCCCTCATCCATCCCAGCACTGCATCCAGGCAGCGCTCAAGGGATGGGACAGCATCCACTGCAGAAGGGTGGAAGGAGATATAGAGCTGGGTGTCATCCACATATTGGTGACACAGAGCTCTAAAATTCCTGATGACCTCCACCAGTGGTCTCATATAGATATTAAATAGCATTGGAGAGATGATTGACCCCCTGTGGGACCCGCACAGTTGAGAATCCACAGAATGGACAACATGTCCCCAAGCTGAACTCTCTGGGGATGGTCCTCCAGGAAAGATTGAAGCCAGGCCAAGGCCTGACCGCCGATCCCCAGTCCTAACTAGGAGGATACTGTGGCTGACGGTGTCAAAGGCCACTGAAAGACTGAGAAGGACCAATAAGGACGTTTTGCCTGTTAGCCTCCCTCAAGAGGTCATCTTGCAGGGCGACCAATGCCATCTCTATGCCATGATGTAGCCTGAACTCAGACTGGAATGGATCAAGGGCATCTGTCTCCTCCAGAAGAGCCTAAAGCTGGTTGGCCACCACTCTCTCCACCAGCTTGCAAATAAAGGAAATGTTGGCTACTTAATATCATCAGTTGCTGTTTTTTTTTCCTGGATTGGATTGATGAGTGTCTCCTTGAGGGTGAGGGGAACCCTGCCTTCAAGGAGATACCCATTGATAATAGCCTCCATCCACTCAGTTGTTAACAGCCTGCCTGCTTTCAAGAGCCAGGCCAGGCAAGGATTTAGTGAGGAGGAGGTGACCCTGCAGAGATCAAGGGCCCTGCTAATCTCAGCTGACGTCACAGGCTGAAATTGTGTTAAAATTTCCAGGCAAGGTGATGCACTGGATGTCTCGACTTAATCCACTGATCAAGAGGAGATATCTCTATGTCCTGACAGATGGCTTCCACTTTTTGTTTAAAGAAGGCAGCAAATTGGTCACAGGAGATGCTACTGCAAGGTCTGTCACTGTGACTTTAAGTATTCTTACTTTGTGAGATGGGCAAAAACTGATGGGACTGTCTTGGTGTGAAGATACAAACATCCCTCATTGTCGCATAGGACCTTGTTGGAGCAAGGGGCTCTCTTGAAGCCCTCCTAAATGCTCCACTATTCGGCCTACTTTGGTGTAACCCCCCCCCCCCGTGTTAAATCTGTGCTGTGATCAGAATTTGTGAAAGAGAAGAAAAACTGGAGGAAGATGCTCAACTGGCAGCAACAGAGAAGGAAAATATGTTCATTACCTTAGAAATGAACATTCATTTGCCTTTTCTGTTGCAAAGTCATTCTGGCTGCAGTACCACTCATTTCAGATCCGGGGATGAGGAAGGGTGAAAGGGAGATAGAAAGGATGGAAATCCAGTAGACTCTAGAGAAGAGCAGGCTTTCTGCATTGCCCTTTTAAGAAGGGATAAAAGAGGAATGTCTCTATGTCCTTTTTAACCCCCCTCCCTTATTCCTTCCCCTGTGACTGCCTCAGGGTTAGTCAAATCACACTTTATCCTGAAAGCTGAGAAAAGGAAAAAAAAATTAAAACAGAGAACCCATGTTTGCAGACTGTCATCTGCCAAATGTCCTCCTGTCTTGCCTGCATCATTCAGTCTATAACCTGACCTTGGTGTTTCCATCTTCCCTTTTATAGGACTGGGATTTTTGATGTAAATGCAAATGTTGGCCTGGACCATGACCGAGTTGGAATGATTTCAAAACAGCACAGGGCACACTAGGCTCTACTCTGTGCGATCTTATTCAGGCAGGGGATGGGTAGGGAGGAGCGATACACCTCCCTAATTTTTACTGTTTAGTTTATTTAGCCATATTAAGGTTGATAAAATTACAAACTTTATGCAAAGCAAGTTGGGGTCCCCCTATTTATTCTTCTTGTGTCTGATTCTGCACAGATTATAAACTTGTCTGAACATTTTTTTAAAAAAAATCTGTACTTATTTTCTCTAGGCTTGGCCAGAGGTGCAAAGGACTTCAGCAAATATGACAATCTGCACTAGAGCACCGCAAGGCAAACTTCCCTGATGTATTGGTTTACATTGCTGAGATCAATAAATAAACAAGGTTGTACCAGATGTATTCCATCTCTGTAAGTGACAAGTGGTGTGCAAACACTTACTGCTTGTAACTGATAAACCAGAATTCCTGTAGTTATGTGACTGTGCCTTGTGTGAATGAATCAGGAGAAAATTTCACTTTTACAACAGAAGCCTTATTGACTGGCTTTCTTCAAGGACCAAAACAATTATGAGTTTTGTTCTGATATTTTCAGCAGAAATTTTCTTCCCATCCCGGCTTTTCCTGATAACTTATAATTTAAAATGGATGATTTCTTTTTAAAGAACACATCTAGCTCAAGCTGCTGTTCACACTTATGCAATACATCTTATCCATTTATTCACTTTTGACCTTCAAGGCAGTAGGTTTAGATTATCAAACAACATACCCTTCCCCACAGAATTCTCTGCAGATATGCTGGAGCGCTGCAGTGATTCCTTGGCTGAGGACTGCAAGGCAGGGAACAGACAACAGCCCTGGCTGACAGAGAGAACACTAGACTTTAATAATGAATTGAGCACTTTAGAGAGGGAAAAATGGAAGCAGGATAGAAATGCAATAAATAAAAATAAAATGGGATTGGGTACACATTAACTAAGCAAATGGAAGCAGGTAAAAGATTGCCTAACATGTTCACTGTGCCAAGAACCAACATTATATTCTCAGCAGAAAATGAACTTGCTATATAAATCTCTTGCAATACATTTTATGATAAATTTGACAGAATGACAACAAGGAAGACATCAGTCAAGTATGCTGTCTGTTCATGCATCACATCTTATTAAGGTAATAAGGGGTTATTGATTTGAATTATGCCAGTGTTTGAGAACTACATAAAGTGTAAACATTGTTAATATTTTATTTTTTGAGATTCTACAAAATTTACTTTGGAAGCCATCAAAGGAGGTTTCTACTAAATTGACATTAATGGTTAGCATAATTAAATATGATCCTAAATCATAGAATATATTTATTATGCCCATATTCCCTGTACTGTATTTAAGTGTGGTGCATCATCTACTGCTTGCACTGAAGGGGTGCGGCAGGAAGCCCCTAATGTTGTTTGTATGGCACTGAATCACAGAATTTAAATAAATAATAATAAATAAATAATAATGTTGTTTGTATGGCGCTGAATCACAGAATCGAGATGGAAGGGTCACCAAGGATCATTGATTTGAAGCCCCTACCAAGGTAGGAAATCTACAGCTAAAGCATCCCCAACAGATGGCGATCCAATCACCTTTTAAAAACCTCCAGTCAAGGACAGCCCATCCTCCTCCAACAGGGTCTATTCCACTATCAAACAGCTGTTACTGTCAAGAAGTCATTCCTAATATTTAGGTGAAATTTTCTTTTCTTCTACTCAAAACCCATTACTTTGGGTCCTGCCCTCTAGAACCATGGAAAATAAGTCTTGAGTTATGCTTGGATTTCACAATTTTCATCTTGGAAAAAGTTTGTTCACAGATGTATGTGGTGCCAAAGGCTGTGAATATGCCTGCAGCAAATTTCTTTAGGTTGATAAATAAGTCAGGTAGACTAGAACAGAACTATTTTTTTTTTGATGTAAATATCTCTGAGATGATCACTGGCTGGTAAATCAATTCGTTCCATCTGAAAAAAGCTACTGTACTTGCATCTCCTGGCACTACTTCAAATGGATTCTGAAGCATTCTTATTTCCTTTCCATACTTATGGGACCCAGTAAATCTGTTCTGGAATTCCACCTGCAATAGTTTCAGTGCTTTGATGTGTCTTTCAACATGGAATTATAAATCCCCATTTTACTGGTTTGTTTTGCACCCTTCCTTGGTAATCTGCCCCCTTTCAATTTCTTTTACAGCTTAACTCATCTGAAAGCTGCTTGTGCAGCCATCCCAGCTTCTTTCAGTGTTTCCCACTTTTTCTTTTTCCTGAGCATGGAACAGTGTGGCTGTGGTTAAAAGGACAGCTCCCTTCTCCCAAAAGTAAGTGGCTGCAGGCAAGCACGCTCCTTGCGTCCACTCACTTCCCCGTTCTGATGGGAGTTTATCCTTGTTCCTCCCCGTCCATCTATTGGGGATCTGAAACGTTTCCAGCCCCGCTTACTTCTACGGGACGATGGCTCAGATTGCACCGGCTGCTAGACCCGAGGCGGGTCTTTTTCTTAACAGCGCTCTCAAAGCCATCTCCGTCATCGTCGCGCGATGCCTCAAAGAACAGGCGCTTCGGAGGCGACCCCTTCGTGCAGAAGCAACGCAACAACGCCCCGCCCGGCAACCCTCCTCGCGCTCGCGCTCGCGCTCGCGCT